TGACCTGAGTTATGACGTTGCTGATAATGCCTACTTTTGTCTTAAAGCAGTGATACGAGAATTATGGATACGTTGTGCACGATGTTGGTACTACTTGGCGTTACACGATGTTCCTCATAATGAAGCGATTTCGACGATTGCAAAGAACGTTTCAAGCGTTCAAGCTTATAATTGATGAGGTCAATTTACTGTTATGAATTTGGTAACCGATTTCGGTTTGTCTAAAAATGCATAGTTTAACAAATAAAACTCAAAGTGGTCGTACACATATTTTTTTAATGAATATTTATTAATAGTTGTCATTCTTTCCAGGCCAAAACTTATATTTTACTTTTGGCAGCAGTTTGCATTAATGAATCATACATTAATTTCCAAATTTATACAGATTACTTTTTAATATAAATTAGATTTTGAATTTATTTTCCCTTTTTATTACATGTTTATACATACTCCTTTTGTTGCATTTCTTTCCGTTTCTGTTTCCTTTCTATATTTTATCATTTCCCGATGCTTTCTTTGTCGCAAAATTTCAAGGTAGTTAAACATTTTGGATTCATGTTTTTTCTCATTTCCGTATTTTTGTGGCATTATGCATATCCTTTGTTTTGATATAATTGCCAGCTATGGATTTTCTCTATTTTATTTTATTGACTAAAAAATTATGCATGTTGCTTTTGATGATTTGAAACTTGCAGATAGACGTTCCTTGAATAAACAAATGTCATGAATGTGCTGAAAAAAACTAAAATCCCGATATTTTTTATATCAATCTCATTTGGTCATTAGAATTTAAACTTAAACTTTTCCTTTATCATAAATTGGTTATAATTGTTATAACTTATATTTTTATTTTTATTCGAATTAAACTGGAAACAAATAATTATGATATAAAATTAAAAACCCGAGCATGACATCAATTACGTTTTTCGAACGTTGGGACAAGACGGCTATACTTTTTGAAACGATCTAAAAATCTTGTTGCCTATCGAAAAAAATGTTAAACACTATATTGTTTAAAAAGAAAAAGAAAAAAACTTTTACCGCCAAGTTTTATTTTCTATGATCTAACTGTGACTATTTAATATACAGCCGGTTAAAACCTCAATTGTAAAGAAAATACAGCGTTTTTTTTCGTTGGGACAAGATGGCTTTACTTTTTGAAGTCATTGCAATAAAAACTATACGCATGGTTTCCGGCAAAAAAATATCATGAACCAGGAGAAAAGTAAAAAATCTTTCAAAATATCATAAATATTTTTCCTCTCAGCTTTTCCAATTTCACGGTATAAATGCGCAAACCCGATATATGCTTACCTTGCATATGCGTGGACATTTTTCAGACCGTTTTCAAAAATAACATTTTCCGGTTTACGGTTTCAGTGATATTGATTTTGCTTTAACACCCGAATAACAATAACAATAGCAATACTCTTATGAAGTTTTACGATGATCAGTAAAAAAAAATACCGTAGGAAAGAAACGGAACTCCGATCTTTTGCACACAAAATGTAACGTTGGACATTACGTTTTTGCGTAAAAATGGGATAATTAAGTGTTATAATTCTTGATATTTTAAATTTCGGTTCCTTTTTTCCTTTATTCTCAAGTCTAATGTAATAAATTCAACCAGAAATCACTATATTTTTATCGAACTGACCAGTCTACGTATTTATTTTCATGCTAATCTATAGCAAAATGGAATTCGTACCAACATCGTGCGCAACGTCGGAGCGACTGAACAGGGTATTTCTATACGTCAAACTATGTACTATAGAAGAAGAGACACTTTTTTCTCAAAGCAGTGATACGAGAATTACTGAGCGACTGAGCAGGGTGACGTAGGGAAGGGGTGGGATATGCAGAATAAAATTGAGAATGAGTTCTTCATATCTGACTAGACCAGAGACTTAATATGTACAAACCTGACGTCAAACTATGTACTATAGAAGAAGAGACAAATAATATCACATTAAATCCTTTCACATTACATCTAAAGATAACAATAATCCAAAGTAAATTAAATTACGACTAGAACACACCCCCGAAATCGCGGGCATTTAGAGCGTGGTTGAAAGTATGTAAACTGTAGTAGGATAATTTTTTGTAAAAGATTTTATGACTGGAGAATTTCAGGAAAGGTATCAAAAGTCATAGGTACCGCGACAGGACAATATTTTCTAGCCCGCTCCCTTTTTTCCAAAGTCCGTTATTTTTTTGTTTTCTGTTAATTTCCATTGTTTTCGCGTTTTCTGTATACTATGAACATACATAACTGTTTATCATAAATAAAGTGTATTTGTTATTTACTATCAGTTCCAACTTTATCATCCACGGCGGTCACTGACATATTATATAAAGAGTCTCTATATTTTATAGTAGTATGATCATAGTATACATGCAGATAAACGCGAAAATAATTGTCCTGTAACCGGGTACTTATGAAAATTATGTGTAATTTTAAAACAGTTCTAAACGGAAGTCTTGTCTATGACTTAAAAGTCCGTCCGATGACGGAAACAATATCCGGACGCCTTTATTTTCGTTTTTCTCCCAATATAACCCAAACTGAATAACCATTAGAATAGATGACAAATGCGACTATGCATGGTACCTATAGGAAACAGAGGCATGATGATAAATTTATTGTGGACGGAAGAGAAGCGACACACAAAATGAGGTCTTCTCATTTAATAGTATAGATGTCAATGGAAGAAATTCCCGCGCAAATGTCATGACTTGGATAGACCAAAAAGAATTTTAGGTCTATGTATCATTCACATTCCGATCAATTTAGTCAGTTAAAGAAAAATAAATATGTTAACTATATCTATATTGATTTTGAATTAAGTTAATCTATCAGAAAAATGATTTATTTATCGCAGACACCCCTTAATACTATACACCAACTCGAAACTGAAGCTAAAAAACCCTAAAACATAATGGTATATATGGAATCGTCCAATCGGATTTCCTAATATTGATATATATAAAGGTGAAATATGTAGATTTAGAGTTGTGTACACAGAAATAAGATCAGAAATAAAGCCCTATGTAAGGCGAAAAAAAACCCAACTGTATAAAACATCGTTGTTTATTGAATTTGCTTGCATAAGAACCGCGAAGTTAAAATTTATAACGATTACGTGTATCCTGTCAACCCCTGAAAAAATAATAATGTCTTCTTGACTATTTCCGCGCGCGGTGGACAGTAAAATTAATATTTTGTTATATAGTATGTTAATAAATATGACAATTATACTACGCATTCTCACGTCTATTTCTCGTGTTTATGTCATTAATTAAGTGGATTTTTTTATACATTTTATCTAAGAGTTAAGCATCTTTTTATTCTTTACAAATTACATTTACGTTTGTACATCTGTGTATAACGATTCTTGATGATAAAATGTTATGTCTCATTCTGCAATTGTCAGAGGTCGGACAATTTCGTGAAAATTACACATTTATCTGTTTGGTCTTATTAACTAATAATAGTAAAGTATTACACCCCCCTATTAGAGATTTACAATAAATGAATGTCTCCAACTCGTATCCGAATGCTACAGCCGGAACTGCAGATACTATTTATGATGCTCTTGTATATCTTGAAGCTACAAGAAAAGAAAAAAAACCCGAAAAAACCCAAAGAATCTTATAATAAATGCAATTGGTTCGCAGTAACTATGGAAGATATGAAACATTTATTACAAATCAGGTTCCAAAATTGATTAAAACCCCTTTGAGTTGATTAAGATTAATCGGAAAGTGTGTAGACTGTTTTGGTTTAGGGATGTCAAAATCATGAAAACAACAATTTGCTTACGGGATTACATATAAAAATAAGATGTGGTATGATTGCCAATGAGACAACTCTCCACCAGAGACCAAATGACATAGAAGTTTACAAATATAGGTCACCGTACGGCCTTCAACAATGAGCAAAACTCATCCCGCATAGTCAGCTATAAAAGGCCCCGAAATGACAAAATGTCAAAAAATCCAAACGAGAAAACTAATGGCCTGATTTATGAACAAAACAATGTCATTAATATTACATCATTTAAAACCTAACTGAAAAAGATTTATTAATTAAAAGGATCATTAAGTCTTCTCAAATTGTATATACAGTTAGTCTGCCATTTTCGTTTGTCTTTCTCTTTTTTTTTTTAGGCAAGATAAACCTTCTAAACTTTGTTTCCCCCGTGTGTTACAATCTACATAAATTGAAATAAACCAACAAGTCACCTAAACCCCACAACAGCTGTGTAATGATGTCAATAAAAGGGTCGCCCTTACCGCTTCCTTGATTCTATAAAATAAGGTCTAACCGTAATGCAAAGGAACTGATGAATATTCCTAAATAATGCTAAAAACCCCACATTTCCCCATTTTTTTGCTAGTCACGATATCGTTGTACGACATCGTTTATCACAACTAATGCTTATTTCAAAAAGTTCCAAGGCATTTATTTTTTTCTGTCCAGTTTTGTGAAGACAGTTTTTTACAGCAAGCTTTAGAAAACGCTACAATTAACTGCCCAAAAATTTACAGTCACGAACAGACTCTATATTTAATCATTGTTCACATAATGGTCCACGGGACTATATCTTAACAATTTTCACATAATGGTCCACGGGATTATATTTGAACAATTTTCACATATTGGTCTCCTGGAACTATTAAAGAAGAAAACCAAAAAGGTTTCCGAAATTCACATGAACCATAAATTTATTACAACATGTAATTGAATAATTCTAAATAATATATATCCAGAAAATTTTCTTTTTCTTTTCAAATTTGAGAAAATTAATTGAATTATATTTTTTCAATATTGCTTTTGGCTATTATCAAAATTGACTGTGTATAGGTGTTATCTCCGTTTATCAAATAATCAAACAAAAACTTTAACTTAACCCGATTTGTACAATTATGATAACCAAACCATATTACATATCTACATATATGTTAAACATATCACCAGTCAGGGGTCCAAAGTAACATCTTGTCTGTCAGGGGTGGATAAATGCTGTAAAAGTGGACCGTAGAATTAAATAATTGTTTTCACAATGAATTCTATAACAAGTGTTGCAGTTATTCTTGTGGCTGTGTACGGTATGGTCTTTGATTACATATTTATCTAACACTTTATTTCATTTCACGAAAAAAATGTTAAAAGCACTTCTCTGTTTTATTTCATTGAAAACAAATAAATACTTGAATTGACCAGTATGGTCGAAGATTAACTTTAAGAAAAAAACTTGTTAACTTAAAAAATCAAAATCATTAAATAACACTTTCATGAACTTTCCCTTTATTTGCTTCTTGGTTGTCTAATTGTCAGTATTCATTCTAGATTTTGCAATGAGATTGTTTAACCCGTTCTAGTCTGTAATTTGGCAATATACATGAATGGAAACCTTGGGTTCCTAGAAAATCAAAGAAAATAAAAGAAGAATGTGTCCATGGGACACAGACGCCTCTTGTAAATTTACGACAAATTCAGCATTTTTTCCATTTATAAAGGGACATAACTTGAGAACGGTGAAAGTAACACCACATTAATTCTAACTTGTTTTGTGTTTGGTGATAATGGGCTTTGTGTATATGCTTCATAACATTTGGTTGAAGCAATGTTAAGTAAGAGTGAGGAAACGGCAAATTCAGTATTTTTTTCCATTTATAAAGGGACATAACTTGAGAATGGTAAAAGTAACTTGATTTGTGTTTGGTGATAATGGGCATTGTGTATATGCTTCATAACATTTGGTTGAAGCAATGTTAAGTTAGAGTGCGGAAACGGCAAATTCAGTATTTTTTTTCATTTATAAAGGGACATATCTCGAGAACGGTGAAAGTGACGCAACCCAAATTGAAATTAGATTCTGATTGAGTTCCACCAAAACCTTCACTAGGGACCGTCGTGAACGTGTAGTGAGGAGTTGGCTTTTGCTCCATGATGAGGGTCTCAATATGACTTTGAGATAAATAAACAAATAAAATAAATGAACTTTATTTCGAGAGGATAATCCCATTAGTTAAAACTAATCTTCCTCAGATTCCTCAAAAATAATAATAACATATACATAAAGTACATGAAATATTATAATGATATATATGTTACAGTGAATTTGTATAATCCCTGATTTTTCAGTGATTTTACATAATCACTAAAATCATTTGTGATTATATATGATCCCTGAAAATGACCAGTGATTTTACATAATAACTGAAAATTTTAAGAATTATTTTAGAAATTCGCCGATATTATTTCAGGTATTATAAATAATACAAAGATCCTTTATTTGATGAAATAATTCAAATATAAACAAATAAATCGTCTACATTTCTTAGCAATTTAATGTTTAAGTGGACAGTTTTCATTACCTGTCCATTTATTTATCAAATCTAAAGTGAACAGTTTTTCCAATGATATGCTATTTTAAACTGTGTTGAACTACATTAACTCATAAACAAAAAAGCATTTAAAATTGAAATGAATAATACAAACGGGATAAAGTTCTGCACATGTATGCCATAAATTGTTTCGTTTTCCCAAAACAACATCAAATGCATATTCATGTTGTGAATGTAAATGCACAGATCATGTTATTTGCAACTTAAAACAAATGGTGATGATTGTTATTGAACACCTGTGTTATGGACATTGAATTCGAATTCAAGCTAGGCAAAATAATGTAACTAAACGTACAGAAAAAAAGCCAGAACGCCTGCTTGGCAAATTGATCGCGGAAAGGAGGATACCAAAAATTTAGAACGAGACATAGAATTGTGCTTGGATCCTACAAAATAAATCAATTTGAGGTGGCCGATCTACAATTTTGGCACCTTCAGATATTTCTGCAGAAACGCTTTTTTTTCTTCAAAGTGCGGTAACATTAGATTCAATATGTGAAGGAAAAGTTTTTTTTTAAAGTGGATGTTGTTGACGAAAAATCGAAAAGCAGGGCATTTGAAAATTATGGTTGATTTGTAAATGTGCAATAGCAAATGTCATCCAAATTTACAATGTACTTTTAAAAAATAAATTATTTGTATTAGAGTACTGTGCTAAACATTTTAATATTTAAGTTTCTAAAGATGTTTAAATATAATTTTAAAGAAGAAATTATTTTATATAAATAGCTTTATTTATTGTTTCTTCGTTCGAGTTATTATGTATAATCCATGACATTTTTCTAGTGATTATGCATAATTCCTGAAAATTTTAGTAATTATATATAATCGCTAAAGTAACCAGTGATTATACAAAATCCCTGAAAAATTCAGGGATTACACATAATCCCCAGTTATACACATTTACTGTAACATATACACATATACAATTTCATAAAGATATTAATGGAAAAAAAACATATACAAGTATTGCCTTTTGATATTGAATTCGTTTTTCTACATTCAACCAATTTAAACTATTAAACATTAAAGCGGAGGATGTCATTATGTCAGCTTCTACTGTATATCTAGCATATTTCTATAAAACTTATTAAGTTTATCTATTCCACTTTCATTACAATTACCCCATATATCGCAACAATAATCAAACAATGGCATAATACAAGCATTATAATACATAATACGTATATTCATAGGCAAATACTTTTGTAATAAGTTGATTCTATTCGATATTGTACATACCATTTTATCTATTACCTCATTCCAATTTAGATAATTGTCGATATATAAAGAAGTTTTCACAAGGCACAGCCTCTAATCGTTTATCTGAAATATTGATATCTAAATTGTTCCCAGTTGAATAAAGCCTCTGTTTTGAACCGATAATCATTGATTTATATTTTTTGGCATTTAGTTTCATACAATTTCCGAACACCAGTTTTCAATAATATAAATATCATTTTGAAGGTTTAGCATTACATGTACATTATTACATTTACTACGTAAAGAACAATCATCTGCATGTAAATCTATCAATGAATTTCTATGTTCAGTGTCAAATCATTGATGTATAAAACAAATACCAGAGGGCCAAGGATAGAGCCTTGTGGTACACCAGTTTCTATGTATTTAGTATCAGACATGCCATTATTTACCTTAAATTTGTTCAAACAAGTTTGACTTAATATAAAAATAAGGAGATATGGTATGATTGCCAATGGGACAACTATCCACCTAAGTTCAAATGAAGTGGATGTAAGCAATTATAGGCAATCATACGGCCTTCAACAACGAGAAAAACCCATACCGTATAGTTGGCTATAAAAGGCCCCGACATGAAAAATATGAAACAATTTAATTGCAAAAACTACATGTAACAGCATAATTTATAAAAAAAAACAATTTACGAAAAACAAATATGACAGAATGAACCAACGAAAACCACTGAACTACAGATTCCTGACTTTGGACAGTCACATAAAGAATATGGCGGGTTTAACATTTTTTTTTATTAAGACGACATTTATTCCAAGTTTCTCCGCATTGCATACACCATTCCACAACATAGTAAGCTCGTGATTCCACAATGTTTTTTTTTTTTTACATTTTCTAGCTTTATTGTTAAATGCATTACTGATACGAATTTTCTTACTTGGTAACTTTTTGGACATTTCGATTTAATTACAAATACAGAATTTTCATACATTTTATCAATAGTTTGATTGGTATTTAAGATTGTTTTAATTGAAATATCACACGATTAATTTCTGTCACAACAGATTTACCACGAAGCCAGTCTTTCGGTATACTCTGGGTTTCATGCTTAAGTTTTATAACAGTTTGACTTTTGTCTATGTTTTTATTGACTTAGTCTTTTTCTAAAAAGTAATGGAACATTTCCATGACAATAGCGAATGATCAGGTACTATTTTACGAAGATCATATCTGCCGGGTTTGCCAAGACCTCGAACGATAGTAGTAGCTTTTGTTACGCTAAAGTAGTTAAATGAGTCATTGACTCGACCGTTTTATTTGTGAATTGTTTCAAAGGTTAAACATTGAACAATCTAATATGATGGTGTTTATCTAGTTGATAATTTCAACATTTTATCTTATTATATCATCGAAAGAGGCACAGATGTAATTGTGTTCTTTTGTACAAAGCACTTTTGATTTGTCTTTCGTACTTGACATCACATCCCGGCTTAGCTCAGTTTAAAAGATAAATAGGACACGTACATTTTTATGTCATACCCTTTTGGACAATCAAGGAAGAAAGTTCTACATTTGAATGCAGATTTAACAGTGGTATTTTTAATTAATGGTGATCATGTTTGTCACTTTTTGGTATTGCACGGTAACATTTGTAGATATAAATGTGATTGATTGATTGTTGGTTTCTTAACGTCTAGTGGCAAGTATTTCGTGCATATTCGGCACGAGAACAAATTATCAATAGATACAATGTGAAGGTCCTGTAATAGAGTCCGTCTGGGATGAAATGTCGAGGAAATTCGGACAGCTATTTGGAAATGGGGTTATACTGGATAGGGACAGAAATCTTCCATTGCAACAGACCGCCTACAGACCCCTCAAAGAGGTGTTGCAAGGATTTTTTACGTGCCACTTTCTTTACAAGAGGCATCGGATTTAACTTCTCTATTCTGACCGGATGTGGCTGCGTTCTTGTACATACCGTACAACCCGAATTTTCAAGGGTTTTGGTGCCGGTTAGAAGAAGACCAAATTGAACATATTTCTATTCCACAGTCACCTTTGCGGCCTATTAGTGTACATTATGGCGAAAACAGAAGCTTATATTTTTATGCGTTTCTGGATGTAAGTATGTTTTTTTTTCCTCTACTAAATTATTATTACCAGCATACGTTTGCGGTGTGTGAGTAAAGTTAATATTTCAGATATGCTTTGTAGGAGACATTTATATCAGTTAAGGTAAAGCTATATTATGATAGCTTTAAAGTATTTTATTTCTGTTCCGTTTTACAAAATTATAGCATTATCGTAAGGTAGAAATAGCATGAGGGAGATAATATAGCGTAGACAAATGTATGATAATGTCTATATATTTTTTAAAAATCAGATAATTAAAATCATTTAAAAAATAAACATATAAACATATTACTGTGACTTGACTGTAAGTGTGCTCTCCACCTGTTGCAATTTATTCAAAAATTTTA